CGTGTCGCTGGTTTTGTGCCAAACGACCGCTGCTCCGCTTCAGCCCTTGTACCCGAGCGAACAAAACAGTACACCTTTCTCTCTCTATACACTATAGAGTATTCTATACAGTACGTATGGCTCTACATAGAGCGTCAGTTTTGCCTCTAGCACGTCACACTTCACATTGATCTCGAATCAGTTAATCGCAATTTAGTTTGATCTCTACAGTACGTCGCGCTTTTCTCTCTATGTTATGTTCAATGTTCTATACAGCACACCAGTCAGTTTTGTATTTATATAGACGCTGCTCTTCACTTTTATCTTTATTGTATATCGCTCTACATTGTTGTCTCTTACAGTACGTCGTACTTCCATTTTGTCGTTATAATACGTCGCGTTTTTGTCTTTATGCAGTCCGTTGCATTTCAATTTGTCTCTAATGCATGCTACAGTTTGATTTATCACGTCGCACTTCAGTTTGATCTCTATAGGCGGTGACACACTATCGATCTTTTCCCCGATCAAGACCCCGAACCGAGCAGGGAGAAGGGAGAAGGGAGATAAATATCAGCAAAATTTTACTCCGAACATTTCCCCGAACATGACCAAGACCAGACGAATTCTACCGAGCGCGGCAAAAGGAAGTTTGGAGAGAGATAGAGAGTGTGTGCGAGTGAGAGCGCGGAGACAGTGCCGTGGAAGAGGGAAAAGAGTCAAAAAGCCAAAGCCAAAAAGTTTCTATAACATAAAAATTATTGTTAAAAGTCGCATTTTGAAAACTTGTCGCAAAAATAAAATATTCTAGAAAGGATGCTTAGTTATATCTATTGATTTCTATTGGTTTTATTCATTGAAATAACGTTACAGAATGATCATTTTAATTGCCTTTAATAATATTAATGTTTATATTATTTTTGAAAGAATTTAAGTCAATATCAATTACTTAATTCAACCTTAATATTATTGATATAATTGATTTAACGGTTTCTACACTTTCAACCTTGACCAAACAAACCACAAACATTACATCTTAAATGATTATAATATATAACGGCAACATATTACCCAACATTTATTTATTTTACCAATTAAAGAGTTTAATTGCCATATTAAATCAGAACTATCAATGCTAGCGCAGGCGGCCGCTCGGTGCGGCGCTCGCGACGATTTACGGGGCAAAAATGTACCGTGACACACTATCGTACATCGGACCGTACATCGGACCGATCTTTTCTTTGATCTTTCGCCAAAAAACCGCCTCCAGAGCGCTCGTCTCCCTGCTCGGCCTGATGTCTTGTTCGGCGTCTTGATCGGTGTACGGACCCGTGACACACTATCGAACATCCTCCCTTCGACCTCCCTTCTCCCTTCTCCCTGCTCGGTTCGGGGTCTTGTTCGGGGAAAAGATCGATAGTGTGTCACCGTCTTATGTAGTACGTCGTACTCCAGTTTTTAGGGGAGCGAGCTGGTCTAGTGGTTAGAGCGTGGACAGTTCCAGGGGTCCCGGGTTCAAATCTCGCCAAATCACCAATAGATTTTATCTAAGTGGTAATGCCGCAACCCCTAGGTCTAGTATGAAGTAATGTGAAAAGCAATCCTGGGCTCGTGCCTAGCGTCCTAGGACAAAGACGTACTTCACTGCAGTTTTGTCTCGATAGTATTTCGTGCTTTTGTCTCTTTTAGTACGTCGTGCTTCAGTTTGATCTCGAATTAGTACGTTACATTTCAGTTTGAGCTCTATGTACCTAGTGTTTCGTCCTTGTGTTAACTCTATAGTACGTGACGCTTTTTTACTATACAAGCGCACCAAACCTCATTTTTGTGTCTTTACGTCACTCTTCACTTAGGTATCTTGTAGCGTAGTACATAGTGCTTCAGTTTGATCACTAGGTAAAGTAGTACGTCACACCTTAGTTTTGTTTTTATATCCTGTAGTATGACACACCACGGTTTCGGCTTCTATACGACATCCGAACATTAGTTTTATCTTTGTATATCACACTTCAGTTTTTTTTTACAGTTCGTCACCCTTGAGTTTTCTCTCTTTATTGATGGTTGTGCTTCAGTTTTAGTTTTGTCTCGAAATAGATCGTACTTCAGCTATGTCTCTATGCTGTACGTCAGGCTTCAATTTTGTAGTACGTCACAAATTAATTAGCTTTGTCCCACTCTGTTGTAATAAAATTCGGGTTGCGTAAACAGTATGTTTGGGGATTTTCCTCACGATTAGAGTCGTGGACAAGCCTATTTTATAGATGTCGTTCAGTACTGCCACACTCTAAATTTAGTTTGTGTTGTACTATTCATTAACTTAATTCCAATTTTTTATACAACTGGTACATGTCTATAAAACTTAAAATTTATTCATCTAGCACACAAATAACCTAATCAAAATGTCTATCTTGAAAAAAAATATACACCGTACTTGTACTGCACCTATATCTTATCTGTTTGAACCAGACTTATTGCTTGGGGATATATAATTTTGCAACCAACCGGAATAAGGGTAGATGATTTCACTTTCCTGACCACAATGAAAGAGGTAGGAATGGGGAGGGCGTCAGACACGAAACTGATTAAAGCGTTGGCGTGTTTTAAAGTGACTTGGCGGTGGATCACAATGTAGGGCTTGGGGCTGAGACCACGCACTATGTACTGCAGAACAGTGAGTCGGGTGTAAATAGCTTTCAAAAATCGGCTTTGCTTATAACGAAGATTATGAACTAAGCTCTGATATTGTCTCTGTACACAATCTAGGTGTGTCGACCTGAGCTCAGATATCACCACTGTGTAAAATGTAGATGTTGAACTCAGCTCAGATATCGCAATTGTGTAAAATGCAGATGTTGAACTCAGCTCATATATCGCAATTGTGTAAAATGTAGATGTTGAACTCAGTTCAGATATCACCACTGTGTGCATTGAAGGTGTTGAACTGAGCTCAGATATCGCCACTGTGTGCATTGAAGGTGTTGAACTGATCTCAGATATCATCGCTGTGTAAAATGTGGGTGTTAAACTGAGTTCAGATATCACTGCTGTGTAAAAATGTGGGTGTTTAACTGATCTAAGATATCACCGCTGTGTAAAATGTGGGTGTTGAACTGAGCTCAGATATCACCGCAGTGTAAAATGTTGGTGTTGAACGGAGATCAGATATCACTGCTGTGTAAAATGTGGGTGTTTAACTGATCTAAGATATCACCGCTGTGTAAAATGTGGGTGTTGAACTGAGCTCAGATATCACCGCTGTGTAAAATGTTGGTGTTGAACTGATCTCAGATATCACCGCTGTGTAAAATGTGGGTGTTAAACTGAGCTCAGATATCACTGCTGTGTAAAATGTAGGTGTTGAACGGAGATCAGATATCACCGCTGTGTAGAATGTGGGTGTTGAACGGAGCTCAGATATCACCGCTGTGTAAAATGTAGGTGTTGAACTGAGCTCAGATATCGCCACTGTGTGCATTGAAGGTGTTGAACTAAGCTCAGATATTGCCACTGTGTAAAATTTAGATGTTGAACTGAGTTCAGATATCGTCACTGTGTGCATTGAAGGTGTTGAACTAAGCTCAGATATCGTCATTGTGTGCATTGAAGGTGTTGAACTGAGCTCAGATATCGCCACTGTGTGCATTGAAGGTGTTGAACTAAGCTCAGATATCGCCACTGTGTAAAATGTAGATGTTGAACTGAGCTCAGATATCGCCACTGTGTGCATTGAAGGTGTTGAAGTAAGCTCAGCTATCGCCGCTCAACCGGGCGATGGCTCGCTGGTCGATATCACTGATCCTCTTGCTCAGGCTGGGATACTTAGTTAATGCGATATCTTCACCAGCATACTTCCAGTCTCATGTACACGTTATCTATAAACAACAATAAAGGTTTCCATCTCATTGTTATGTCAATTTCTATTACTCGAAAAAAAAATCAACCGACGTTTTGGATTTTATTTATTCTTGTATTGAAACTCGAATAACTTTAATTAATTATTTTAAAGTCTACATGTTGGTTTTAGATCGTTAGCTTAACATAACTATTAAATAGTGTAATTTAGTTCACCTACTAAAGCCAAAAAAATTTTTATAAATCCTTACACTCTTTAATTATCACATTCTGCATCGACGACTAACCTCCCAGTTAATGAAAATAAAATGTTCTCCAGAAACACTTGGATTTACTACGGACAGGTAAGTATTACATCTTTGTATGCGACCCAACAGCGTAAGTAGGTAGAAATAACCTTCTTCGGAAGCAAGAGCTCAATAGTTTTCAAACCAGGTGTATTTTAAATTGGTAGGCGATAAGTGTATTGTTTGGAAATATAAATGGACACAGTCAGGTGATCAGTCTTGTATGAATGTGGAACTGAGTCTCAACCTTTGGAGCACATACTTGATGAGAGCTGTTTTACTGCTTCCCTAGAGATTTGACTGTCTGCAGTCACAAGCAACACAAGGGAGGCAGGGCTTTTGCTTGTAATGGCTTGCCTCCTTATAGGCGTAGCTCAGTGAAGGAAAGGTATTTTTTAAACTATATCATATTGCATTTTAAGCTAATTATAACTTTTCTCACTTGACGTTGGTACACAGTGTGACTAGTAGTCAGTTTCAAATTTAGAGCGAGAGACTGTAAATTTGAAGAGGTGTTAATCTGCCATTTTTATTTTATTTCAGCCCATATGAAAGTCTTTATTTCCACACTACTCTATTTTCAAAAGATCCTCGATGAGCTACAGGCTACATAACATGTGAATATATTAGACAAGTGACAATTTTCGGGAAACGTGGCAGTAAAATACACCAATCTTATACGAGTATAAAAACAACTCTTCCCCTAAACAAACCACTATACGTGACAAAACGACAGGCAATGTTTATTTGCAGGACATTTAATTTTTAAATGTCCAGCCGACATCACACTTAAATACGAGTGGATGTAGCGATGCGGAGATGCAGATAATGCGGCTGGTGGTAATGGTAATTGTCATCAGCGAACTCCGCCACCAGCTCCAGCAATTAATTGGCCCCGCAGCTAGTGGGGGGAGGGGGTAAGTGGAGGGGGGAGACGTAAGGGAGTGGGGGGTCGTCATCTGCCATCACGTAGTTAACACGGAGCCCTGAGAGAACGGAGTGTAGAGTTGTAGAGTAGGGGGGTATATCGTCAAAGACTGTTGTACCACGCACGGTAGTTCTTTCGTTATTTTATAAATTTATTTATAGCACAAGCTAATATTTGTTTGTATATTGTATGTTTTTAAATTGCTATTGCAAAGATGCTTTTCAGTAAGTTGATGGAAGAAACAGGATTAAATTGCAATCATCATCAAATAAATTTCTGAGAATGAAAGTCTGAGACATCGTATGATTGAGATAGTAATGTTTTAGACTTTTGTCGTGCACAAATCTATGTATGAACTTCATTGAACCTATCCTTCAAGCAATGCTTACTACACAGTACATCTTGGACCAAGTAATAAATTGTAAAATTAAAGACACGAATTCGATTTTTACTACCGTTTGGCTTTTAGAGCAGCGAGTTCCCCAAACCTATCAGTCGTTGTTTTCTAGCGTTTCTACAGGCGAAACAACATAAAAAATTCTTAAAGTTAGAGAGTGTATTGCTTTCTTCAAACAATGACTAATCGAGGGGGAAAAATAAAAATGCCCGAACCATCCACAAAGGAAATAGATGCTTTTCAGCCCAGAATCTCAGATGAGACTTGACACACGGCAACGCCCGCCAGCACGCGATGGCATCTACAACGAAGTCATGCATGATACAATGTCGTCTGCTGGACATAGAGTAAACTCTAAAATACATCAATGTGAACCTCAACAAGTTCGTGAATTCAATATTTGTTTGTGTAACTAGTGGGAGTGGTCGAAGTAGCAAAGGCAATTTGCACTCGTCTTAAACGGATTACGTGCCTAATAAAATCACTCTAATTGGTGTTGTTTGGTTGGAATACTGGTGTGCGACAAAGTAAAAAGTGTGCCTTTTTGCGTGCTTTGTAAGACTTGTCAATGCAAGTGTAAATAATGCGGTTCACTAGTACGTTGTAAATATATTTAAAAATGTCGAATTTCTGCTTGCCACAATAGTACCTAGTCAATACAGTATTTAAGTACTGTACTTCCAAATGGTCATCTTCGAAACTTGGTCATCCTCGAAACTTGGTCATCCACGGGGCGTAATGGGACATGAATAACTCCGTGATGGCCCGTGGCCAGGTTCATGGAGTATACATACCTTTTTTCAAGATTTTTGGCAGGTCTTCGGTTTAGTATTTTACATACATACAAAAATATATTTTACTTAGCTTCATTAAAATTTTTTGCATTTTTCCGCAGATATGGTAATAAATTTATTTTAAGGAAATTTAAGAGACGTTTACGTTGATTTCTACCGCTTAACCTTACATTTTTAGCAAGAAAGGATCAAAATTGCACGTAAAGATATAAAACACGAACATTTTCTCACCATGGAGCAAACACCGCAGAGCCGATCATAATAGCAATCGATCGGCCTCACGACCAGACGGCTTCAACAATGCATTGGTGCTGATAGCAACCCCCCACACCCCCTCCACCGTCAGCAGCTGACTACTAATTGACTTCTGGCTTTTGTCACCTTCGTCTTCCCTTCACCATAATGTGCTTCTTGTGCTCCTGATGATGTAAGTGTTGTGGAGTGAGGGATGAAAATACGTTTTAGATAGATTGAGTACACCCTCATTATTTCAGACTATGGGCGAACCAAGTCGTCCGGATTAAATTGAATAATCATTAAATAAGCACCATTTAGGAATAGGGGCTTTGTAAAATAGTTTTGTATGCTTGTGTGTCTTAAAGCCATTTACCCATTTGAATGTCTGCAGACATACATACATCATACAGACATACATTGAAGCATCACTTCTCAGGATATGAGTACATGTCTCATTGTCCACCTTTTTCCTATTATTTAGGTCGGGTCTTGTCAAGAAGACGACCACCACTATCAAAATTCCACTATACGAAAATGAGGTAAATCAGGTTAAGTTATATTTCACTAGGTTAGGTTCTGTTACTTTAATGTTATAATAGTCCAGGACCTGACTAGGGTTCTGTGTGCATGTCGTGTATAGAGAATTTTGCTTTTGCATTTCAATATAGGTGTCTTAGGAAGTGTTTTCCACTCGGGTGTCAAGTTCGCACCTGGTACGTTTTCGAGCTATGACGTCATCAAGATGGCGGCTCGGCAATTTTTAAATGCGTATATTTCGCAAACCGTTTAACGGATCGGGATGATTCTTTTTTTGTTTGAAAGATATTTTTACAAGCTATCTTTTTTGTATTTACCCATTTGTTGTAAACTTAATATTTACCGCACAATATTGAAAAACGTAGTTTTTATTGTTATTATATTTATTGTTTTGCTTATAACTTCTTAACCGCTGATAAAATCAAATACCACCCATTGCAAAAGTTGGAGATAATTCTATACTCTTTCCAATGATACCAAACAATATGTGATTAGACCTAAAAATAAAGCAAAGAGATTGAATAAACCGTAAAAAAACACTGAAAGTGGTGTACGGTCCGGGAAAGATTTAGTCCTGGACATGACTAGGGTTCTGTGTGCATGTCGTGTATAGAGAATTTTGCTTTTGCATTTCAATATAGGTGTCTTAGGAAGTGTTTTCCACTCGGGTGTCAAGTCCGCGCCTGTTACGTTTTCCAGCTATGACGTCATCAAAATGGCGGCTAGAGCAATTTTTAAATGCGTATATTTCGCCTACCGTTTAACGGATCGGGATGATTCTTTTTTTGTTTGAAAGATAATTTTACAGGATATGATTTTTGTATTTGCAATTTTGTTGTCAACTTAATATTTATCTCACTATATTAAATACGTGGTTTTTAATATAATTGTTTTTGAATTTTTCCTCATAACTTGTTAAACGCTTATAGAATGAAATAACTACCCATTACAAAAGTTATAGATAATTTTATGCCCTTTCCAAAGATATCAAACAATTAATGTTTGAAACTAAAATTAAAGCCAAGAGATTAAATAAACCGTTACCTAACACTTAACATGGTAGAAAGTCCGGAAAATATTGCGGCTGGAACAATTCTTCAAATGCGTATATTTCACATACCGTTTAACGGATCGGGATGATTCGTTTTTTGTTTGTAAGATATTTTTTAAGCCTATCTTTTTTGTATTTACACTTTTGTTGTTAACCTACTATTTATCCCACAATATTAATAAACTAGGTGAAACCCGTCGAAATCGACGGTCACTGTCTCTGTGCTCATTATTCATCTACGGAAAGTTAGGTGTAGTGGAATATACTTGAAGTGAAGTTGGCTTTTACTCTTGAACTGTTAGGGACCTCCTCGTTTATATGGTTGTGCGGCTTCTTTGGCAACAAATAATTCAAATAACATAACAATGCGGCATTTCCAAAAAGCAATAAATACTGTAAATTGGCTGTTACGTAAATATTGACGTTTACATGCATTGTTAAACAACGTATCTTATAAAGGATGATGTGATCTAGTTTAAAAGGAATATGACCTTTCTGTCATGACAGTAGCTGCTTGAATAGTATTTACTCTTTGTGCCTTTTTTATAGCCAAAATGTCGTGTTATTTTAAATCATGTTAACAACCCAGTGAGCCACGGTCCGTAATATAGACCACTTAAAATAATTTGTCAAGATAGGTACCATTTTAGGTCAGGTTTCTGTGTTTGGATGTTATTACACACGATAAGAGCACAATAAACTTCTTCTGCAGATAAATAATCTACTGGAGAAATATAAGCCGAATTATAAATGTCACAATGTGACTTTGAGCATTTTGTAACTATATGGGTACGCTACAAAGTATTTTTGAGGCTGCTGCTCAGTGAACTTTAAGAATATATTTTTAGAGATAAATTAAATGATTTTTGTTGCTGAGTAGCGTTACTAAACATGCACAACCCATTTCGTTACTCTAATAACATTCAAAGGCTCTCTAAGAGTTCAAATTCTTATTTGTATACTTATCTATATTAGGTTTTCATTAGGCTGAATTAACAACATCGAAGTAACCTCTATGAAAAGTCTGTAGTAAATTGCAGTTAACAGCTTAATGACTTTCTAAATCATGCACATATTTTTACATAAATATTATAAAATGTTTTATCCAGTGGCTGTAAACTACTATTAATTTAGCAAAATATGGACACTGCTCAAATGGGCAACGTGCCCTTCTGCACTTGTATAATTTTGTATTGTATTACACAATCGAAGATTTTTCCAATGATTGAAAACATGTATAACAATAATCTCGTGAACCTCTTGATGATCTGTAGAATAATATGATAAAATATAGGCAAAAGTGGGGGAAAAGGCAGACAACAACTCGTACAACAGATAATAGATAGTTCAATAAGAAATTACTGTAAGAGTTCTGTGATAAAAAGAATTTCCACTGATTTCGTAATGGAATGTTATATTGCAAAACATGACATGATACAGAAGAAAATAAATTTTAAAATCAGAAAATAGCATTGCAAATACTTCTTTTAGACAATTTAGTAACTCCCAATAAATGTGTGTTGTTTAAAACACAATTGAAAAATCAACAGCTGTTTCATTAAAAGTATTAAACATAAACAAATCTGTAGAGGGATCTTTAAAGGCTTTTGGGGCAGAGCCCTAAGGGAATTTACTTCGTTTTTCTTTTGATAACTCATCTACAGACCATGACCTTTCTTTTGACACCCCTACCAAGTTTCTACGCCCAGCCGTTCTCTCAAATTAGTGGAGACAAAGTTTCCAATTGAATTTCTAGTTTCCTCCATGTTAATCTTATGGGAAAAAATCCAACTTTGATGGAAAATCCTGCCCAAACTAATAAAGATATCAAAAAACGAAAAACACTTTGCAAAACTACAGATCAGGGCAATTTTTTTGACACTTTAATCATCAAAATCGGTCCAAAAATGAGAGAGGAGTTCTGTTCACAAAAATCGGCTTAGCGTATTATATATATAGATGTACATTTAATTGTTGTTTTTATTTTACTTTTGCTTATAACTTTTTGACAAATAGTAGGTTTTTTAATATAGTGAGATAAATATTAAGTTGACAACAAAATTGCAAATACAAAAATCATATCCTGTAAAATTATCTTTCAAACAAAAAAAGAATCATCCCGATCCGTTAAACGGTTTGCGAAATATACGCATTTAAAAATTGCCGAGCCGCCATCTTGATGACGTCATAGCTCGAAAACGTACCAGGTGCGAACTTGACACCCGAGTGGAAAACACTTCCTAAGACACCTATATTGAAATGCAAAAGCAAAATTCTCTATACACGACATGCACACAGAACCCTAGTCAGGTCCTGGACTATAATGGCTTCGGTTAGGGTGCCTTCGGTTAGAATGTAAAGAAGTGGACTCTTGTAGCAGACAGTTCTACTACAGCTTATTGTGCATAATTGATGGGATTGGACACAGTTAGGTTAGGTTAATTAAGTCATGTAACAAATGTTTAATACAATATAACATAGACTATTTATTTCCCCCAGGTTCATTTGCGTAGGGCAAGTTAATGTGGCCTTCTTCTTGAAAAACTCCCTTTCAGAGCGGAAAAATTCAACGTTTGAGGTAAACCAACTCCTGATACTTTGTGCTGTCCTACACCACGCAGGGATTGCGTTCACCACACCACCCATACTGCATCACGCTCGCCAGTATGGTCAGGCCACGCCAAAACACGCAAGGTACGATGATCATGTGTTTAATTGTCTTTTTTCATTTGAAATTTTTTTACAAAAATCTCATGATTAATAAAACCCTTGCCACAACTGTACCATGACAAGTTTTTAAACGCGTGAAAACGTCAAAATCTATATCTATAATCATTGACTATACACCTCTACATCAATTAAGTAGAGGTGTATAGTCAATGCTATAATACAGTACATGAAGCCGTTTTTTAACACTTATCCTCCCTTATTATTTGTGAACCAATTTCAACGTTTGAGATGTCAAAAAATTCGCCTCAATCTGTAGTGTTAAAAATTCTTAGCCTTAAGGGCGTGAAGCACTCTCGAAGGACAATTTTTTCCTCATAAGAATTACATAGAACAAAAAACAGCTGTTTATAAAAAGAAACACAGCAGCTTTTTTTTTGTAAAATATTGATGTTTGTAATATTCAGGAGGTTAGACCAATGTAAACCGTTAATCAGATTTGTTGATAGAACAGAAAATGACTCGGGTTCAAAGAGGAAATATTGAAACGTGTCGTAACACTTCGGCCCAAGTAACACTTCGGCCCAGTAACATTTCGGCCCGAAACCCTCAGATGTGGCCTACGGTCCAACTCTCTACCTGCCCACTAGTAACACTTCGTCCCAACAAATATTTGACAGGTTAGGTTAGGTTAGGTAAGATTCCACCGATTCTCCGTCATGTGAGGTCAGAGGATGCAAGGGGTGACGGTTGGGCGACATTCCACCAGAGGGTGGTTGCAAAGTATACAGGTCATATGTATCTCTTACTACCTGAACTGCCCTTGTCAATTTTTCGTCGGGCCGAAATGTTACTCCATTAGCTAATTTAATCATCTGTAAAAGCGAGTGGGACGAAGTGATACTGTTTTTCTAAGAAATTTGAGTTTGGCCGAAAGAAGAGGATGTGACAATTAATTAATTAGAGATCTATGCGTATGAGAAGAGTAGAAGAAGAGAGGCCTGGTCTAACAGCAAGGAATCCAGATACCTCTCCACTTGGAGAGATGAATAATATTTTCCAGTTCTGCTATGAAACTTACTTTGGAAGTAAAAAATACACAAAGAATATAAACATCGGGTTATCAAGGCGGTAAATTAAACTTGCCTAATGTCAAATCAGATGATTTCGTGCAAGAATTATTACTGGTAACAGCTAAGGGGGGTCGGGAAACATTATTTGTAGAAAACACTAAAAATCAAGGCTAGCTTCTTAAAAAATTATAAAATATTGACAAAAAGTGTTTATTATATAAAACTAATAGTATTAACAACGTGAGTATTTCCATTAGTTACATAAGCTTTTAGATGAGTGTTTTAAACTCATCGAAAATTATGACCGTTATTAGTTAATAACTATTGTATAATACCGATACTTGACAATTGCTCGATTTTGAGCAACAGGTACACTTTGAAGGTAAAATATACATCTTTGACTTCATTGAAGCATCTCTAAAAATCGAAGTTCTTGAAGGATTGTTATTAACAACTTATGCCGTGAAACAATATTTTAAGTGGTATTTACTTTTATTTTGTGTAGTTAAACAGTATGAATATTCTTTTTCCTACAGTTACCTAACAATGTACATGTTCTCTCACTGATTTGAGAAAGCAAAGTGGCCAATTCGCTCATCAGTGAGACAATGTTAACATTGTCTCACTCTAATTACTTTGTCTCACTCCAGATTTGCAACGTGAAGGCACGAAATAGTGAGCACGTAACATGCGAGCAACGTCGTATGCGCGCGAAATACGTTGGCAGCACTGGCTGTAAATCAGCTGGTCAGCTGTTGTACTGTTGTATTTGTCACTTCACGTTAAATGTTATATTAAAAGTTTACTTCTGTTTAAAAATAGGTTATGTTTCTTCACCAATTTATTTGTTTTATGGTAACTGTAGGAAAAGTATAATGTGCAACTCGAGTTCAAAGTACAATTGCCTCACTCGAGAAACCATTCCTCACTCGCCTACGGCTCGTGAGTAAGGATTTCTCTCGAGTGAGTCAATTGCTCACTTTTCTCACTAGTTGCACAAATAACTATTTCTTTAATTGTAGTTTATTATTTTGTGACACAATAGGTTTCCTTAGCTCTGTCTATATTTCCAATTTTCGTCAACAAAATGAGAGATTTAGTTACAATGTGCATTCAAAGGTATTGAAGGCTCTAAGAATAGGCTTCAATTGTACCAGACTACAAGGAATTCATGGTCTGTAATATTTGTGATTATATTTTCTTGGTAATCAAAGAATAAAGTACTCTTTATTCTGCGGTTTAAACGTGTTGCTTCCGTTGTAATCTCGAAAAGACATGTCACAATCTTACACTATTGACTTTTATATGCAATTAAAACTTATGAATAAAGATGGTTAAATTTCCATAGTTTTAAGCAACATATTGTCAATATATTATCGAAAAACTTAGCGAAACTGTATAAAAAGTGTGCAATATGTGATCTTAAATCTCAACGTGTCATAGTTAGTTAAAATAAATAATTGCTGTTTTTGTTTTCGTTAATGTCGGTAAAATTTATGACGCAAAACCCTCAGGGATAAGAAAATGGAAAGTTTCAAGCTGCTACTTGCATCACGTTGCTATGTATAGGGCCAGATGTTTTAGTTACAAGTGGGTGGGACTTCGGTTCTGAAGATTCAGGATCAAATCTCGATAATCGCCAATGTCCTCCTGCGGTGTGTGTCTGAGAGTTGAAAGTACTGGGTTTCGGAGGGCTACTTCAACTATAAGTCATGTGATAAATACGTCGTGTTGTTGTTGTACAAATGGTTGTTCTGCTCGCACGTTGTTATCAATGCGGTTTGTAGCAGCGTGAAGCAGCGGAGAGTCTGATCAATATCTGATAACAGTCACGTTCACCGCACCTCACCTACACTATCCACTGGCAGACATTGTATTGCTCATTTAGCTGCGCAGTCAGGTAAATTATTAAACCAAACGTAACCAATGTAACTTGCCTTAAACAAATGCAGTGTGTGCTTCTATGTATTTATTCTCATAAGGCATTTAAAATGTGTCGATGCAGTGTTAAAGTTATACAGCCAAGAATTGCAATATTGTAGATGACAGTTTTTTTAGACTTGATTATCCTAGACACTGTAATCAAAATATTGACATAAAGAATAGCAGCAGGTAACACTGTAAAGTAGTGTTGTAGCATTAGACGGGATTACTGTGCTTGGGTCCGCAATTACACTGGACGAGAGGTCGTCCAGTGGTCGAAACTCGACCAAAAATATGTAATGTACTCACTTAACTATTTTCACCCCACACTGTAAATAAAACATGTGATTGGAGTTTCCTCCATTTGTTTTGATTTTCTGTTTATATTTCGTTGTTATTTCGTAACCAGCATAGCAACGCATAAGATCCATGTTAATTTTTTACAACTTTTAAACTTATTTTTTGTGCTTATCTTTGAGCCTATTTAAATTTATAAAGGGATTCTGCACACCTACAGGAAAATAGCTTTCCAACGGTATGCGTAGATTTTCCCTACGATGCACACGAGCTGAGAAAAAAGGTTTTAAAGAAACATGCTTGCCTATTAATATATAGATAGATAGATACCAACAACATTGACAGAGAGAATAGCAGTAGTGTAGAGTAGTGGCGAAGCGTCGGGCTGGATTACTGTGCTCAGATCTGCAATTACACTGGATGGCAACTGTATTGCAGAGATAATAGCAGCAGTGTAGTGTAGTGGCGTAGCGTCAGGTGGGATTACTGTGCTCGGATCTGCAATTACACTGGATGGCAACTGTTTTGCAGATATAATAGCAGCAGTGTAGTGTAGTGGCGTAGCGTCAGGTGGGATTACTGTGCTCGGATCTGCAATTACACTGGATACCAACAGTTTTGCAGAGAGAATAGCAGGAGTGTAGTGTAGTGGCGAAGCGTCGGGCTGAATTACTGTGCTCGGATCTGCAATTACACTAGATGGTAACTGTATTGCAGAGATAATAGCAGCAGTGTAGTGTAGTAGCGTAGCGTCAGGCGGGATTACTGTGCTCGGATCTGCAATTACACTGGATGGCAACTGTATTGACAGAGAGAATAGCAGCAGTGTAGTGTAGTGGCGTAGCGTCAGGCGGGATTACTGTGCTCGAATATACAATTACACTGGATGGCAACTGTATTGCAGAGATAATAGCAGCAGTGTAGTGTAGTGGCGTAGCGTCAGGTGGGATTACTGTGCTCGGATCTGCAATTACACTGGATGGCAACTGTATTGGCAGAAATAATAGCAGCAGTGTAGTGTAGTGGCGTAGCGTCAGGCGGGATTACTGTGCTCGGATCTGCAATTACACTGGATGGAAACTGTATTGGCAGAGATAATAGCTGCAGTGTAGTGTAGTGGCGTAGCGTCAGGTGGGATTATTGTGCTTGGGTCTGCAATTACACTGGATAGCAACCGTATTGGCAGAGAGAATAGCAGTAGTCTAGTGTAGTGGCGTAGCTTCAGGCGGGATTACTGTGCTCGGATATACAATTACACTGGATGGCAACTGTATTGCAGAGATAATAGCAGCAGTGTAGTGTAGTGGCGTAGCGTCGGGCTGAATTACTGTGCTCGGATCTGCAATTACACTGGATGGCAACCGTATTGACAGAGAGAATAGCAGCAGTGTAGTGTAGTAGCGTAGCGTCAGGCGGGATTACTGTGCTCGGATCTGCAATTACACTGGATGGCAACTGTATTGACAGAGAGAATAGCAGCAGTGTAGTGTAGTGGCGTAGCGTCAGGCGGGATTACTGTGCTCGGATCTGCAATTACACTGGATGGCAACCGTATTGATAGAGAGAATAGCAGTAGTGTAGTGCAGTAGCGTAGCGTCAGGCGGGATTACTGTGTTTGGATCTGCAATTACACTGGATGGCAACTGTATTGACAGAGAGAATAGCAGTAGTGTAGTGTAGTGGCGTAGCGTCAGGTGGGATTACTGTGCTCGGATCTGAAATTACACTGGATGGCAACCGTATTGATAGAGAGAATAGCAGTAGTGTAGTGCAGTAGCGTAGCGTCAGGCGGGATTACTGTCTTCGGACGTATTATATTGTCTGTGGTTCGGATCTGCAATTACACTGGATGGCAACTGTATTGACAGAGGCATACCAGCAGTGTAGAGCGTGTAGAGTAGTGGCACTGCGTCAGGCTGGATTACAGTGCTCTGTCCCTGCATTACACTAGATACTAGCCGCATACTATCTCTGTTTTTATGGAATTTGGCATTTATTGTGTTTTTCTTCTTTATATGGCATGTAATCTTACACATTATTTGCGATTTAGGATACTTTTGATTTTGTCTCATTGGTATATATTCAAAACGTATTATGTAGGCCTATTTCGTCTACACCTTAGTGTATAAGTGTCCGCTCTACCTTTGTCGTTTTGTGTAAACGCAAGGGTTGGGGGGCCCTGCGATTCCAAAGGCTACATATAACGTAGAATCAAAGTTAGGGTCTCATTTTGAAGAGGATAAAATTATTTAAAATATTAATAAATGCTTTTAACATTTACACTAGAAATGAGTGAGAGTGTTACTTGTCTGACTGCAAATGAATAAGTGGACGCTTTGGAAGTGTCAGTGCTGTGTGAAAAGACGCGGACTGGACGTTCTGGACGTCCATTACACCGGTGTGAAAATGCCTTTATAGGTTTAGGCCGAAGTTCGGGATGCGGTTGGAAATTCATTACAGCTCGGAACCAATACTTAAATTATCACTCATCTAAAATATTCATATATTATTTTCGATACAGAAAATTCAGAGAGAAAGTAGATCAATAATTATGACTGACTAACCAGGCCAATATTTCTGCAGTTGACAACTGCCAGGGTGTGGTTAGTAGTGGTAAGAGTACAAGATTAGTTTTTTGTGGATTCCAAATCATCAATGCAATTTGCTAAGTGATAGTACTAACTAGGACCAAGTATTAGTTTGTGTCAGTTATTTACTTCGATGATGTAAATACCCCCGCCGCAGAAAGCTAATTTCCATTTGTCCAGTTAATTTTTGTTCGTGTATGAAACAAATAATTTATTTACGACAAACTATGTTACAAAACTGAACTAGTTTTCATTTAAAGAGAACCCCTCAAAACTACTTCCATGTTTTCAATGCAATTTGCTAATGGAAACAAGCAGTTGTTTAGTAAGTGATTCAATCATTTCGTATATTACAATTGTGTTGGTGCACACTATACTATCGATATGTCGAAATATTTATAATAAAGCAACAATTAACTACAATTGATTCATACTTTCGATGCATGTAATTGTTTACAATCTAAATATGCAACAGACAACAGCTATTTGGTCTCATTGGTTTACAGTATATTCAAAACGTATTATTTTGTCTACACCTTAGTGTTTAAATTCAACTAAAGTTCCAATTAACCCGTTTTCCATATTTTTCATATTTTCCATAATTACATGTCCTTTTTGTTTGGTATTCTCAACTAAAAACACATTAATTTAATTTTTCTTGTTGTCAGTTGCTTATGTGATGTTCTAGTGATATTTTGTTACAGTTAAAAAAGGTATGCTCCATCTAGGGTTATGTTAAGCCCGAAATTTCAGCCAACAACTCAACGATTAAAATATTTTTTATAAAATTTGTAATAAGAACAAACATAGATTTGAGCATATTTATATCCATAACTACACCAGGAGAAAAAATGAAGAGATATGTGCCACGACAGATTGACAGGGTAGTGTGAAGTAAGAGGGAGATGATAGGGGGTCAGACGGCAGCAGTGGTGGTGGCGTGTAGCCTATATCTCGGTCGAGTGGGGGGGGGGGCGCTGTGGGGGGGCACTCACCCCCCTTCCCCCTTCACATTAGCGGCGACAGCTTCACTGTAGGCACGCGCCACCGCCTCGCCACCGATAACACTCTGTCCCCTAGAGGATGAACCTTCCCTATACTCGCTCCCGGGCCGTATAGCGCTCTGAGCGCATCTTGACGTGTATCTGGTGTATTAATTACTGGTTATTTGCGCCACGTGCCGTCTCATCGCTTCCCGCCGAAATTTGGCACTGCCGCCCGCGCACGCCGACAGAAATAAAACTAAGTGCGGAGGTATAAACAGGTAGACCGCCGCGCCGCGGGACATCCAACGCTGAGAGTTACGGGACAGATCTCACTTTTGGTTTATACGGTTTGGATTTTCGGTACAAGATTTTCTGTATGAAAGTCAAGTTTGTAAATAACCAATTACACCAATCGGCAAGTAATTGATGGATAACATTAAACAAATCGAAGAAAATTTTTGTAGGTGAACATTTTAATTTACGTCATAAATTTGCCTGCACTATTTTTGACTATTACAATGTTACCTATGCATAATATTCTCGGTATGACGACATTTCAACAACTGAAATGAAGGAAATAAATAAATTTTAAATTATAAATCTGTTGAATAATAATATATAAATATATTATGTAAATTGATACGCCCTAATAACACACAGTAACTTTATCTCCCACAAAAATCACTTTCCATGATCGAATAGGTTTTATGGGGTAAAAGTAGGATTTTCTTATTTTTGACCATAAAAACCCAAAATTTCCCAATATCTCTCTATACCATCATAAAGAGCTTAAAAAAGCAAATAATTTAATATATTGAAGTAGTTTTGTGTGGTTATTGGTTACGAATAAAATTCCAAAAATCGCAAATTTAAGGTTCTCATGTTATTCTTATGGAGAATATTGTAAAATATTGTAGTTTGCTTGTATTGTAGGATATACTGTATTTTGATCAAACTTGGCAAATTTATTTTATACTAGGCTATTGATATTTTACTAAAACACGTTTTATTAGCCTCACTGAAGCAGCAAACCTAGGGTACTGATTTAACCTAATGTTATTCGAAAATAGATTTAATTGAATATAAATTCATGCAAATTGAAATTAGCTTAGTCTGCAGGTATGCTGCGTCAGGGGTATTTTTAATTGTTAATACTGGAATTCATTATCTAAATGTTGATTCCTTGTGTGTGTACGTTCTTGCAAATAATCGGCAAACATAAATTGATGGTGATTTATTTTGAATTTGGTAACTTTGCTGAAGATGAGCTGCCACTCAAATCATGTACTTACTTACATTTGACACCTTCTGGCAACAACGTAGGTGGTAGTTGTATGAGAATAAAAAAATAGTATATTTAATTTTGAACTAAAATTTAAATTTTTTATTATTTTAAAATTCAATCATTAATTCCTGGGAAGAGTTTTAATTACCACCCATGTTGTGTATTTAATATTTTCAATAGTAAAATATTGCTATCCACGCTAAAACAACAGTCACGATCAAACAAAAGAGTCGAAAGAACAAGACAGAGAGAAGAGCAAGAGAAGAGCGAGAGAGGAGAGGAGGGAGAGACATTATAAACTACCCAGAGCAGAGGCAGGAAGGTACGCGGCGAGGCTCTCCACGCTGTTCATATTTTATTTCCACCTCACCACAGTAAGATCGCTTGGATGATCTACCCTTCTTAGGATTTCAGTTGTAAATATTATGACACGTTTTAATGCAACAATCATTAATCAAGGTGGATGCCAACTTTGTAGTGAAATTGTTAACATTGTGGTTTGTGTACTACAGTACTACTGAAAAGAATATACCTTTCGTAAGTTGCACATTTAAATTTGAAGATGCACTGGAAAATATGACGATGTATGCCATGAATATTTTTTGCTTGATTGATCGGTAGCATATTCTCGTATTTCTTTGCTTTGCAAATAATTTGTATCTTAGTACCTGCGCCTTCAACTAACTCTATTTTATTATATAAATTAATTAATTTTTAATAATTTATTCCACAATCCCACTTTTATCAACAAATTGAATTTATTCAAGCTTATTGAAGTTTAAAGGCAATAAAAAATTTAATATCAGACAACACTCGGGCACGTAAAGCGACATTTAAAAAAGGATAATCAAAACCATGAAAATTAGATCGATCTTATACAACTTGAAGCTAACATTGGCTTAGCATCGAGATTACGAATAAAAAATACGTTTTAAAAAGTTTGAACCTTGGGAAACAATTCAAACCAGCAATAGAGAAGCAACACCCAAAGCTTGACAAAGGCTACAGGCTGAGTGGCAGGATCATGCAGGATGAATGATCCTGTGGCGGTCCGGTATCGATCCGGTCACCCGCCACCCGGTCAACGTGTGTCAGTAGCTGTTGACACTGGCCACAATATACGCAGCCCTTGTACAGTGTACAGACGCGTACATGTACATGACCAGAGTACACACTAGTACATGTCTGTGTACGACGTAAACTCGAGTACATGTCCTCCACACTTCGGACACCTCCTACAACACCCACCACAACTACTACTGAGCTGTAGCTGACAACATAACCATACATGGGTAGCAGTGTGTGTCAATCAGACGGAGAATTTGTGTTTGACACGGACACCCACTTGGGACACCTCCAGTAGTGGCGAACCCAGAAAGAGACGCCACTTTAGGCACGTTTTCCCCATAAGAATAACATGGTGAGCTTTTTTTGACCACTTTTTTAAAAATCCAGCTCTCGGCCTATACAAGCCTATATAAATGTTCAATACCATTGTACAACACTATTACTATTTCAAATCCATATCCATTCACATGTATATTCTCAAAATCATCAACTTGACAGTGCGAGGTTTGTACGCGAACTTGGACGCGCTCCCCCATATAAAATGCATGCTACCCATATAAAATAATGTTAAATTTTTTTCTTACTTTTTGATTTTTTTATGTTGTAATATTGTTTATAATCAAAAGTTGACACCCACTACGTTTGCCAGAATTTCAACCGTTTTGCCGTATCTCAAGCCGTTTTCGAGATATAAGCGTTTTTAGATAGTTTTACGGACTTAGACGATTTTTCATGGTAAATTTTATTTGTACCCTTATAAAATAATGTTAAATTTTTTTCTTACTTTTTGATTTTTTTATGTTGTAATATTGTTTATAATCAAAAGTTGACACCCACTACGTTTGCCAGAATTTCAACCGTTTTGCCGTATCTCAAGCCGTTTTCGAGATATAAGCGTTTTTAGATAGTTTTACGGACTTAGACGATTTTTCATGGTAAATTTTATTTCTACCCATATAAAATAATGTTAAATTTTTTTCTTACTTTTTGATTTTTTTATGTTGTAATATTGTTTATAATCAAAAGTTGACACCCAC